TTGAATAACATTTGAAATTGAGTTAAAAAATACCAACAAAAAATATTTATATTTTATTTATAGCCAGCCAAAAGTTTTTTCTTTTAATCTTAAGCTCACCAAGGCTGCATTTATGTGAACAATATAATAAAAACAGTAATACTGTAAAATATTATTTTAAAATATAAATTATAAAAATATTATTTAAAATAATGGTTTTCTATTTTTTTTTTTTAAAGATTTATTTTTTGGCATTTTTGCCTTTATTAGGATAGGACAGATCAGAGCTGACAGGAAGCGAAGTGGGAGAGAGATAGGGGCTGGGATCGGGAAAAGGTCGTCGAGTCGGGATTCGAACTCGGGACGCCGTAGCACAATGGCGCTGTATGTCGGTGCACTGCCGACAAGGCAATCGTCACCAAAATAACTGTTTTCTATTTAAATATATATTATAAAATGTCATTCATTCCTGTGAGTGTAAAGCTGCATTTTATTCAGCATCACAATGTTTCGGAATTCTTTCTTATATTATGTTATATTTCGTAATATTATTGTTTTTACTGTATTTTTGATCAAATAAATGCAGCATAAGAGTCTTTCAGAAACATTAAAAAATATTATGTATATAATTAATACATTAAAATAGGGCCTTAATATGAGCCCATAAAACTGCTGTAAGGCAGAAAAGTACTCTAAATTAGTTTACTTCCATTTTCATTTAATCATTTAGCAGATGCTTTTATCCAAAGTGACTTACAAATGACGAAAACAGAAGCAGTCAAACCAACAAATGTGCAACAATATATAAGTGCTGTGACAAGTCCCAGTTAGTCTACCTCAGTGCACGTAGCAAGGTTTATATTAGACAGAATATAAATAGAATAGAATACTTCATCTACTACTATCCTTAATTTGGGCTATTATTAGGGCCATGCATCATCAGAAAAAAAAAACATCTACAGTTGTATCAAGGTTGTGATACATACCCCACCTATTGGTTTGCCCAGCTCTTTAATTATGTTCAAGTAGTCAAGCTATTTTTATCGTTACTGTACAGTTACAACCAGATACAATGACAGCCGATTTGACCAGAAAGTACTGACATTGTAACTAATTATAGTGCTGAAAAAGTTGCTGTGGTTGTTGTCACTTCCAAGTACTCATCCCTAGTAACCACACAGTGAGACAGACCTCTGCATTAGCTGCACAGCACTGTGGTATTCACTACTGTTGAATGAGTAATAGCTTCTGAATCGCTACGGAGATGCATCAGATCCCTGTGAAACTGTGGAGTGATCAACTGAATACAAATGTGCGAAATTTCAAATTAGAGAAATCTGTGCCTGAAACACAGCAGACATGTATTATGAGTAAGTGATCTGCTCTCAACGAGCATAATAATATCAGGAGGGTTTCAAATGACAGGCGAGCGTGCGTATGTGCGCATGCGAGTACGCTTCACTGTGATTAAAGAGATTGTGCAGAAACCTCTTTTGCACCCCCTGTTCTGTGCATTCATCAGACGGGCTTGCTTGTCTTCCTTTGATGGAAACCTGCAGCCAAAATTTAATGAAACACTTGGAACTTGTTCTTTGGCAGAAGTGATAGGGTCTGTTCTGTCTGTGCAGACAAAGTCAAAAATAGGAAAGCAAAGAAAATGACAAAATCACTGGAAGGGTAAGACACCGTTTAACAAGAAAGAAAGTACGATTCAAGCGGTTACAATGGCTTCAAATCGCTGTGTGATCCTTAATAATTCTCTCCCATGCTGAAGACATCAATGGACAAATACTGCAGGGGAGAGCTGGCAGAACAAAACTAGAAAGTCATGCATATCCAGAGAGCCACAGTTTCCTCTCACGAGCCACTCTTTCCTTCTATGAATGCAGAAATGTGGAGTATTTGGCAGATTTGAAGGTTAGTCGAATGTAACGCTTGGCAATTCAAGGGAGATATTAGATATGCATTTCAAATTATTGTAAATGAGAAATAATATAAACATGCCTGTCTATTAACTATCATTTATCTGAACTAACATTCAAATGTTTTACTTAAAGCACATTAAACAGGGTCATACAATGAAACAAAAAATAAAAGAAAAATTTCCTTGATGCCATTAAATAAAAAGGATACACTACGAACACACTAAAATATTCACAATCCGCAGTTTGTTTCCCAATTCAAAAAGACCATCTATTGAAATCAAGCTGCAAAAGTGGCTCAAGGCTAATTAAAAAATCTGTATGGCTGTGATATCACATGCAGCCGTGCACATTTACATATTCGTGACACCTACTGCCTGCTCAGTCAGGGTTAAATAACAAGCTGTTCCTGGGCTATGTACAGAAACTATTGCTCTATTCACGGTATTCTTCTGAAGTATCTCAAAATCACAAGCAAGTGGCTGAAATTTATTTTTACCAAGGTCCCGGATAACTTTAGTATGACTTTACTAATTTCTGTGGCACATTTCAACATGAATTTGCGGTCTACAGATGTAACAGGGAGGTTCTGATCTATATATCAATACTGCATCTATTTGGTTGACACATGTTATCTGTCTGCCACTCACCTACACTACTGTTCAAAAGTTTGGGGTCGAAGACTGGAGTAATGATGCTGAAAATTCAGCTTTGCTATTACAGGAATAAATTACATTTGAAAATATATTAAATATTAAGAAAATATATTTTAAATTGTAATAATATTTTACAATATTACAGATTTTACTGTATTTATGATGCTGCCTTAGTGAGACTTCTTTCATAACCAAAAAAAAAAAACTATCAACCTGAAACTTTGGAACGGTGTGTACATTTTCCAGTCAAGTTCTTCATATTCACTGTACAGGTACAAGAAGATTAACCCAAAAGCAGACCCAAAATCAATGCCCTGGCCAAGAAATCAAACCCAGGTCGACTGCCTGGAAGGCAACTATGCTCGTAAGTATACCATCAAAGCAGTGATGTGATTTTTATTGCAGGGTTTTCCTATGACCTTCAACAAATTTCCATGACTTACTCATGGAAAACAGATCTTGTAGAAATCATTTTATATAAATTGCTGCCTGAATTTCAAAATCTATGCACGGTACCAATCTTTTGAAATAATAATAGAATTAAATGACCATACTTATTAGTGTACAAAATGTCTCCAATGAGGCCAAGGAGTCAAGGTTTTGTTTGGGCATGACCCCATTAGATCTTGCAGAGAGATGGCGTAAGTACACCATCTGGCAGCAAAAAGCATCTTTCTGCTTTGATGGCCATTTAGAAGGATCTGTTAAATTTTTTGCAAGTATGGATGGGTTGCAAACAAATGTCTTTCTCCATGTGTTCTATAGATGTCCTTGAACAAGAGCCGCAATCGAGAGACTGATGCTGTCATTTTACTCTACCTAAGAGCAATTAAACTCTAAAGAGCAATATTCAGCAATAGCTATTATGTTTTTTTTCCCCAAACAAAAATAGAAAAAATAATTTTAACTACTAGGGGTGACCCCGAATAGTCGAAGATTCGATGCTTCGATAGGAGGAGCCAGATTCGACTATTAATCTCACAGTCGAATATTTGCAGGGTGTTATGATCTTGCCATTTTGGCTATATCGGGGTGCTCAAATGTCTGATTTCACATAGAACTACCGGTTTTCTCCCAAGGTTAATATACAGCCTATTAAGATAATGCTGTAAATAAGAATCTGAAAAGAAAGAAGCTTTAAATAAATATTTTAACGTGCGTGAATAAATCCAACCACCCCTATAGATTTAAGTTTCACTTTCCATAATCCGTGACCGACAGAGAAGCATCTTGGCGGCAGGGATTTAAAACTTTAACAAGACTCAAATTGACACAGGCAGAGTGAAAGACTGGATTTTTTCGATAAAGTAGGATACAAGTGATTTCAAAACATTTCAGCCTGTTTATATATATCGTGTATATATTATTTATCTCGTATAAGATGCATTTGGTTGAGTTGCGCTGCAGTAAAGCACTTCATTGTACTACGGTGATTATCACTTCAGCGCGCAGTGCGAGCAGGACAAACAACAATGCATAATATTAATAACTATAAATGGGACTGTCATATACATAACATTATAATGAGGACACTATTATAATAAAATGCTGTGAATTTTTAGAGTTTAGTTGCCGTGCTTCTGCACGTTGTTGCGTGAAGAACGCGTCCACAAAAGGAGTTCATTCAGAGCCGCGCAGACACGTTCGTGCATTTGGGGCATTTTGTGCAGATAGCCTATAAATTGCAATATTAACGTTATGTTGTATAAATAACAAAGCGTATACTATATGAGATAAATGATGAGTTAAATCCCATTGATTAAAAACCTGCTATCAAATGCTTCATTCTACTGGTCATCTTCAGCGTGTGCAGCTCAAAACAAAAATGCAGAACAATAACTACTGTCATATACGTAACGTTATAATGAGAGCACTATTATAAAAATGTTGTGAATTCTTAGGGTTTCGCTGATGTTTACTGTTAACTATTTTTTAATCAAAACATTATTTTTGTATATATGAGGCGTCCGTTTTTTCCCTGTGTGTTAACGTCAGTAATTATGACTGCTGAATGATTTGAATGACTTGACTCTTGGTAATGTATTCTGCCCCCCGCCCCCAAAACATATGATTCGACTATCAGTCGACTATTGGGAAGATTCGAAAATTCCGATTCGACTATGTAAACGCTTGGTCGGGGACACCCCTATTAACTACACAAATTAACACTTATAAACATGACTTTTCCATTAGTAGAAGTCACAAATAAAAAAATATTTGCAGGTTTTCCATGGGAACCCATTTAATGAGGACTAAAATAAGCACCTAGCAAAGACGTAATCAGTAGGAAATGTATGATTTTACCCGAATAACCAACTCAATGGAAGGCAAATGAATTAAAACAAGCTACAGAAGTGTAAACATAAAGCCCTATGAATGACAGATCTCACCCAGCAGGTGGGTGAGTCAGTAGGTAGGATGCAGTTGGGTTGCTATATCTCACCGGCTGGGCAAACACAGTGGGCGGTTCCATCTGACTTGGCACGGCAGGTAGAGTTGTGCAGGCAGGAGTTATGCCGCAGGTCGCAGGGGTCGTAGGCCTGTTCACAGAGGGGGCCGGTAAAGAAGGGCGGGCAGGTGCAGGAGAACTCCCCTGGGATGTCAGACTCCACACAATGTGCTCCGTTCAGGCAGGGAGAGGAAGAACATTCCTTCACATCCTCTCCACAATCTAGGCCTGTCCAGCCACGAGGACACATGCACCTATAAGGCAAAAGAAGTATTTTTCAGATAAGAGAGTTCATCGTTTGCTCATATAATTTCAAGCTTGTATGATTTTTTTATATTCTGGCTGCTCTTTTCCATATAACAAACATGAACGTTGACCAAATTGTGTTAAGTTCTAAAAAAATCACAAAAATGCACCATAAAAGAGAATCATAAAAGACTCCATATGCACTAAACCATTCAACAGGAAATATTTGTTTTTATGTTTTTGAAAGAAGTCTCTTATGCTCACCAAGACTGTATTCATTTGCTCAAAATGATAGTAAAAACAATAATATTATGAAATAATATTCTAAATTAAATAAATGTTTTCTATTTTAATATATTTTAAAATTTAATTTATTCCTGTGATTGCAAAGCCTAATTTTCAACAGTTCATTACGAGTTTTCAATGTCACACGATCATTCAGAAATCACATGATCCTTCAGAAATTATAGTAATATATTGATTTAGTGCTCAAGAAACATTTCTTATTATTATCAATATTGAAACTGTTGTGCCGCTGTTTTTATAAATGAATAGTTTGTGTGATGTGTTGATGTGGAGATCAGGTTTGTAGTAAAGGTTTGGCTCATTTACATGAAATTCCGAAATAATTCAAACAGTCCTTTTAAAAGGACTTTGAGTTTCTGCTTTTTGACATAGAATTATTCTCAGTATTACACAGTGGTTTGAGGGAGCAATTATACTGGCTGACCTATTCAAGAGCTCAAATTAACTTAAATGGCATGTTTAATTTAACTTCATTTTGCGGGATTTTGTGCGAACAAGTGTGACTTGGTTAGTCTTGTGGGACAGATTTTGCTTTAAATATGAGAAGCTCAGGTGTTTTTATGTGCTACATATATATATATATATATATTTTTTTTTTTTAAGAAAAGCATTTATTTGAAATAGAAATAGAAATAGAAAAAAAGACTCAATCTCAAATATAAGTTGTTTCATTTTGGAACTTCACAGCCCAACTTACCATTTGATCTTTATTTAACTTTTTGTTTTTTTAATATGGAAAAGTTCAGCAAGGATATTCTTGAAAAAATACCTTTTCTGTTTCATGGAAGACAAAGTCATACAGGTTTGGAACAACATGAGCGCGAGTAAATTATGACATTTTTCATTTTTGGGCAAACTATCCCTTTAAGACATAACTCAGGCAAGAATAGTGTCTTGAAATCCTTTGGAATTCCATTGTGTGAAATTACTGAGGAAAATGATATTGTACTATTAAAATATTCATTCACGTACAGACCGACTGACACTCCTGGCACACAGTGACCTTGTAGCATAAAAGCAAATTCCCCCAGAGGGCAGACTCCGATTTGGCTTAGCCCTGTGGTGCTTTTCACTAATGAATGTCATACGTCTCTGAAAATCCCTTTTTGTTCATTTTAGACCAGGATTACATTGTGTGCCATGAACTAAACTCTTATAAATTAAACCTTCTACTTAATTTCAGGGGGGAAAAAAAACACACACACAATAGCTATTTTAAAGAGGCCAGACATGATATTCCTACAGGTGTTATTAAAAGAAAATGAGCAATGAGTCATAATTATATGGTAGAAATGCAAATGAAAATCATAGCGGCACATTTTTATAATCTTCCATCATTCTCACAATCAAAACACGGCAGCCCATGAGATACAGTACATTATTTACACAATATATAAGAAAACAACTTAAATTTCAAGTTCATCCTGTTTCAGTTTTAAAGGCCACTTTAAAAGAGCTTGATGTGCACTTTTTTTTTTTAGTCTATTTGATGCATTTCCTGTCGAAACAGGAAGTTGGGCCAGAGCATATCAAATAAGTTTTAGTTTACGTCACAAAAATGAAATCTGTATATTGGTATAGTCAACTTTTAGAACTACACCAGCAATGCTATAGCCACAAATCTCCAAAAAGCTACGCAAACTGAAAACAAAACTCTTATTTTGTCATTCGTAGTCAAAACGGAATCAGTGTTGGGAGATTTCTGGACAGCTGAGGGGATTTAAAGGTTAATTGCACTATTGGTCTGAGAAGCATTAAATCCCAGACAGCTGGAAGTAGGACACTGGGAGGTTAGAGCAGTGAGAGCTGGGATTATATTTACCAGAGTGAATCCCAGAGAGTGCCGAAGGTATCTGCATTCCACTTGGTGGCAGTGATCTTACAGCCGTGCTGCCAATCCCTGTCTTAAACCCATCCTCTATTCTCTCGCTCTCTCCTTTCAGTCTATTTTCTCCCCCCCTTCACTCTCTTTCCTCCCTTCGCTGCCCTTAGCAAGAGGGCACATTAGGTGAAACAGAAGCAGGAGCTTTTCTCAAGAGAGTCACCGATTGAGAGAAACCTCCTCCTTCTGTGCTGCATTGATTGATTCATTTGTTTTACCTGCCATCTGCAATTCATTATCTCACACATTTTTGAAAGTGCAGTCTGCTCTGCGTGACGAGAGAATAGGTGGCTAAACCTAATGCTGCTTTCTTCATACATAGTCCAGGGTTTGCTAAATGGGGGTTTATGTAACCCTGGAGGTTCGTGAGTTGATGAAAAGCTAATAATTAATTATATTAAATGTAAAAGAAAAAGAAAAAGAAAAATGTGACTGGAAGATAATCGCAATATAGCTTAGTGCAATAATCAAATAAAAGACTGTAGTTTAATTAAACAGCTCTATAGTTCGATGCAGCTCATTTCATTATATGATGCAGGGCTCTATGCTTATTTTTTTTTTTTAGGAGCACTTAAAAAATTTAGGCGCACGTTCAAAATTTTAGGAGCACCTTCTAATCAATAATCTAAAATATTATCAAAAAGTGGCCTTCCCATTACGAGGTGATATTTGACTCCTCTAACTTTATTAAAAGTATGTCATCTTTTGTCAAATTCTTAAAAAAAATTTTTTTTATAAGCTTTTTAAAAATTGTAATTAAAACGACAGAATAAGAACAACGAAACACCGCTGTGTCTTTGTTTTAAACTATTTTCGACGACGAAATAGAGCAAAATCAGACAATAGTGTTATAGTCAGACAATGTAAGTCACTTAATATTAACTTCTTGTTTATTGAATTGTATTGTATTAAATCAGTATCACATTTACAAACTCCTTTAAAAATCATTAAAAGCTGGCACTCATCTTAGTTCATCTCGATCTCACATCTGTAATCAATGAATCTCTCACTTTGCTTATGAAAGGATTCGTGAGATATGTCTGTGATACATTACTCAACGCTGCAAAAACACGTAGAAACCTTTGAAGCTCCCCTGAGCGCAATCACAAGTATGATGATGATCGGGTCAGTCACACTGGTGCTCCTAAAAAAAATTTCATAGTCGCACGCAGTAGTTTTCAGTCGCAAATGCGACTGAAATGGTCGCACTATAGAGCCCTGTGATGATCAAATATTCATTATTTATTTTTCAGTACAATTGTAATTTATAACTGCACTGTCTTTATTTTTATAATTAGAGTTAAAACATACTTGAATTCATTGCCATTAAATTACTGAAATATTTTTTTAAAGTAAATATTCTATGTCTAAGGGGTTCAGCTGACAACATTTTTAAAATCAACTAGTTGATATTAAACTGATCCGGTTAGGATGTATATGAATCAGAATGTAGAACATACTTTTACATTTCGAACGCCTGTTAATTTGACATACCGTCTTAAAAAACAGAACAATACACTATATTTGATGTATGAAAAGACTGCACATTTTAAATGCATATCTCTGCTAAAAGTGTATTTACATGAACATTTACATGATCTCAAAGCTGAAACACAGAGCCTAAAAGCCTCAAAACTCTAATTTCATGCATTTAAATGGGATTTTTTTACACTTTAAATTTTCAGCCAAGGGTCATTCTTAAACCATGGTACAGTAAGATTTATTAATCTAGCAATGTGAAAAACCCTAGAGACACAACTTCTATGATGAATTTACATTCACATTACATATATTCTTTTACTTTTATCCAAAATAACTGTAACACTTTAGTATAGGGAGTCTACCAGTTGTGCTGGTTAGACCCTGCTCCGGAGTAGGAGCTAATTTGGTTCTCGAAAAAGGCAGTCCGGTACTAAAATCGCACCAAGTTCCGGCGGTGCGAAAACACCAAAAAGTGGGTAGTTCTACAATTAGTTCTGGTACTATGAAAAGGTTCCCGCAGTGCGAAAGGCCCTATATTGGCTGTTTATTAGTACTAAGTACCATTTAAACGGTTGCATTCGCACCGAGAGTGTGTACTAAGAAGTGGCGTAAGCCAGTCGACAGCGTCGTCATTTGTTTCTGCATGACCATATTCTACATCCCTAATCCTACCCAATACCTAAACTTAACAACTACCCTAATAAGCATTAATAAGCAGCAAATTAAGAGTCTATTGAGGCACAAGTCATGGCTTGTTATTAGTGAGAATTGGACCTTAAAATAAAGTGTGACCAAAGTAACATACAAATGATAAAAACAACAGTGATTCATCTTAATGCATTGTCTAGAATAGAATAGGCTAAAATGGAGAGATTTAAGAAATGGTAAACATTTTTTTTTAAAGGAGTCAACATTAGCAGGAAATGCAAAGAAATCCATTTTTAGTGATTCAATAAATAAAAAAAATCTACATAAACTGGACTACCTCATTAATCAAGATAGGTTGTTGGAAAAAACTAGTCAACCATGTGACCTATCTCTAGCCTGTCCATTCATCCAGATTTTCTTTGCTCCGTCAAGCTGTGTTTTTGCAACCCACCTGTAAGCATTGAGGAGGTCTGTACAGGTGGCGTTGTTTTTACAGGGGTTTGATGAACATTCATCGGTCTCCCACTGACAGAACTCCCCCTCCCAGCCGGGCAGACAGAGGCAGTCGTAACTCTGTAATGCAAATGAAGACAGCGAATGAAAAGACAATATAAAGCAATGTAACACTTTCATCTAACCCTTGCCTTGACCTAGATAAATACAGCATATTCTGCCACCAATCACTCGACACACCTGAAAACGTCTTCATTAAAGCATTGACAGTAAATTAACAGAATGACAGTATAGTAAAGCACTGTGGTGTTAAAGCAATAATTCATCCAAAAATGAATATTTTAAAATATTCTCATGACAACTGATAATTTGTATGAGATTCCAAAATTACTTGGCTTGTATAAAAATGCATGACAATATAAATATACACTGTGCACTACTGTTCAAAAAATTTGGAGCTAGTATAGTTAAAAAAAGAAAGAAATTAATACTTTTGTTGAAAAATACTTTTAAATTGATCAAAAGTTGCAATTACAAAGTGAATTTCAAAATATTTCAAATAAATGCTGTTCTATTTCACTTTCTACGAAAAATAAATAAATAAATAAATAATTCTTATTTCCACAAAATTATTAAGCAGCAAAACTGTTTTTAACATTTGTCTGTTTTCAAAAATGTTCTTTATTGAATAAGTATTAATCTTTATTGAATTTATTAAAGGGATAGCCCCTTTAAATGTAATAACAGATGACACTTCAAACAATTTCTTTAAGCATAAACAAGCAAATTAAAAAAAAATTAAATGTACCTTCCTATTCCTTTTTCTTAGTCTGAAAAAAGCACACACACACACACACACACACACACACACACACACACAAGGCGTGTGGTTGAGGTTTATATTATAATTTGTCCTGAGGGCAATCTGTGGGCAGCTTCAACTCTCAACCCACCTACTATTAACTCCAAATGTATTTAGCATGGTTTTCAAAGTTGTTATCTTTATGGAAGAGCAACCATTGCTATGCAAATGCACTCTCTCAACCACCCACCACTGCACATCAGATATTCAGGCATGTCTTTAAAGGCATGCAAAGCATTAATTTTGGCATAAATTACTAAAGAAATCTGCATGAACCACGCATTTCAAAGAGAAATATTCAGAATTACACCCCATGCTCTGAAATAAACAGCACTTGAAGTGAATGAATGCGCACTCTCTATTTAGTGCTCGAATAGAAGCTACGATGTAAATGCATTTTCTTCTTTTTTACTTCAGATGTGCTGTCCTTTCTGTCTTGGTGAGTTTACTACGACTCTCCCCTCCACTCTGTCATTAAAGTTTTCATTATGAAAATTAATCACTGTGGGTGGTTTGCTGTCTGTTATTTTGCATGGCAAAGGTTTATTCCATCTCATCCCATACAATGGAAATGAGCACTGGTTTGCACAGTCAAGGCATGGATAGAGTTCTTCATCATGGATGCCCTGAGGGTTGATCCTGGAGTGCATGCTAATCTGTGCTTCATCCAGACGCAGACACAGTGTTAAGCTCTGCCTAATGTAATTTGAGCACCACGGGCCTTATTCATAAGACAGAAGAAGCTATGCAGACATGGTGTGATAGATCAGATGCCTCCAGAAGACTTCTGTTTTTCACCCCCGGCTAAAGATAGTATAATCTTATTTAGGCTGCTAAATCATCAGCTGGGATCGTAGCTCTCCCGAGAAACCCGGGGTTGTGCGGGGTATTTTTATTTTAACAGAAGTAAATAAATAACTACATAAACACTGCCAGGAAGTAAACCGCAATCTGTGAGAGGGATTTCGAAAGCTTGCTCCTGTCTCTACATGAAGTTGCACAAGAAAACTTCTTTTTGGAATAAGATAATTGTGATAGAATGAGTTAGAAACATCTCTTATCTACTATGTGCAAGATGAATTTCTGCATAATAATGCAGCAAATTGCTGCTTGGAAAGACTACAATGAAAAAATAATTTATATATTATATATAAATAATGTAATGATTTTAAATAATTATGCAAGTGAAGCAAGTGAATATTAATAAAATGATGAATATGTTGTAGTAGTACTGTAATAACACATGCTACAGTACAGCAAAATGGCATGCTCAAAATTATGGCAGAATACGTACATGCAATATTATTAATTAAATACTTAATGTGTACAACTGAGTAACTATCAGTCAAATGGGGTGTCAAAATTAATCACTAAACATGAGTAACTGCAAACAAATCATATGAAAAAAAAGTAAAAAAAGTAAATTGGAATTCCAAGAACCATGTGCATATACATATTTCAAAATAACAATTAGTAATTGTATCAATAAGTAATAAGATTGCTGAAGTAGTCACCTAATTAACTTAATAAAATAGCTTATGGCTTATTATACGCGCTTAAACTTATCTTAAACTATTACTGAACTGAAAGTCAAAAGGTAAAGCCATGTTAATTTTTCATGCCCCAGTGCATTCTGGGAAGACAGCGAATAGAACTGAACTACAAAACCATTGCTGGAAATGAGCAAGGCAGCACATTTATAACTCATTAGATTATGAAACAAATATTTATGCCTTATGCCTTATTGAAAAGTCCTCAATTCTGTCACATTTTATTTGCAATCGTAAAATATATAATATTTAGTAAACTATATACTTTAGTACAAACTGATACTCACAATAAATAATAAATAAATACAAAGTAAAGCAGATTTGTACTATAACTATAAACAACAGCTACCAAAAAAATAGTTTGTGATGCCTGCGGCAACCACATGTGATGACCCCGGGCTGGACTTTGCTACGTCCACGGTAAAAGCCGATCCGGCGATCGACAGCGCGAAGTTGAAGTATTTCCTCAGCGACCAGCACGGATCAGCTCCAGGCATGACGAAGCGATATCGTCCTCTTTTGGAAGGCCAAACAAAGTAGTTTCGCTTTCACAACGAAGCACACAGCGCCTTCATGACATGGCGGCGGCGGCAACAATACTACAGCGAGAATAAAAGTTACGCCTTCTTTCTTTGCGTGAACATTTGGGCGGCGTTATGCAAATCTTCCCAGATAGTGACGTAGACATGTGGGGGCGTGTTAGAACGAGCCGTTTTAGGTAGGTGTGGCCGACTCTTAACTTTTATAAAGAATATCTCTTTGGATTTGAGACTTTAGTCTTTGCAACTTTACAGATCTTCTTTATGCACCAAGAGCTTGTAACACTCCAAAGAGAAAGGACAAATTGAAATCGCATCATATGACCCCTTTAATTGAGATGAAATGTCTATGACGTGTGAAAAATGTGGGAGAAAATTGGATTGCCAATTTTCTAGGGTGAAGGAAGGTGCTATATCACTGATTTTGACAATTTAAAAAAGATGGAGTGAATATAGCGAACAGATGAGCAGAGGAGGCATGGATTGTGGCGTACAAATGGAGTGATTTGTTATGTCTTAAGAGAACACAGAGGACATCGAGCCATTACGCACACTTCACAACACCATTATGCTCAAGGGGAATGTTGCAACAGCCCCTTCAACCAAGACAGGTTCAGAAAAAAGTGTGCTATGGGGATATAAAACAGAGTGTTGTGTTGAGGTTGTTTAACACTGCTGAGATGTGAAGTGAAAAGAGGAATGATGTAATGGCTTAAGGTCTTGTTCCTATAGCTCTACTGATGCCATGATCGTGGGTTTGATTTCAAGGGAACATGCGTACTGATGAAATGTAAGATGATTTGGATAAAAGTGTCTGCCAAATGAATAAAGGATATAATCCCAAACTCTTTGTAAATCCATGTTAAAGGGGTCATATACTGTACCAGGAGGAATCAAATTGTCATTGATCTTCTGAGAAAGTAGTTCATTACACCATGAATGCTGTTAATGAAGGATAAAGCAGATTAAAAACTATTTAACACAACAGCAAACCTGTCGCTCGCTAATTAATGCAGCACAGCTTTGTATCATCAAATGCAAAATCTTTACATGGGGGTTTTACAGGCAGCAAAATGGGGTTGGAAATTGTCATAAACTAAATTATGGTAATTTATGCTGAACAGTAAAATAATAAAATACATTAAAGGAATAGTTGAAAAATAACATTTCTGTCATTAATGACTCACCCTCATGCCATTCCAAACCCGTAAGACCTTTGTTCAACTTCTGAGCACAAATTAAGGTATTTTTGCTTTCTGACCCTCCAAAGACAGCAACGCATCTACCACATTCAAGGAAACAAAAATAATGACTTTATTCAACAATTTCTTATTCAGATTCACATGGACTATTTTATCGATGTCCTTATACCTTTCTGGGCCTTGAACGTGTCAGTTCCATTGCTGTCATTGCAGGGTCATAAAGCTCTTGAATTTCATCAAACATATCTTAATTTGTGTTCCGAAGATGAACGAATGTCTTACGGGTTTGAAACGACATGAGGGTGAATAATTAATGACAGAATTTTCATTTTGGGGTGAACTATCCCTTTAAGATTGTATATATACTGTAAGTCTGGGCTTGGTAAGATTTCATAATGTTTCTGATTTTTTTAAGACGTCTCTAAAGCTCACCAAGGCTGCATTTATATCAAGAAGGCAGTAAAAACTATCTATTCATCCATCTATCCATCCACCGTTCTCATCCACCTCTCTACCACATATAAAATACAAAAATAAAAATAAAATAAATCACAATACATAAAAATAAATCAATACACAAAAAAAACCAATATGAAAATATTGTGACCCCTTCACTATGCAATTGTATAAGAAAAAGAAAGAAAGAAATGAAAAGAAAGAAAGGAGAAACATTTGCTCCACCATGGAGTAAAACCTTAGAAAACAGTTAAGTTGCAAAACTACATTGAAAATGTCCCCACGTCACCACTTCTCTCCACATGCCTCTAAATTCAATCAATTTAACGAGTTCACAAATATTCAAAGCAAGATGATTTGCATCAGATAAGCGCGACCTAGCTCTTTTGCTTATCATGTTTGTCCTTCCAGAGACCCACGTATTGGGCAGGTGGAGACTCCTGTTGGCAAACCAGCGTGACAGAATTCACATTTTCACACACAGAGAAAGGTCAATCTAATTTACTGACTGTATGAAAGTAATGCACTCCCATGTGACTTTCCATGGCTGGCCCTCTCTCCCCATCCCACGTCCTTTGCTATATAACCAGCACGTGGAAACAGAATTTAAGAGCTCAATTACATGGTAGCTAAACCATTTTCCAATCAGTGATTTCATACTTGTGGCAGTAGAACAATCTTTTAAAGCGCTCATGCGATGAGCATATAGAAGCTATTAACACATTGATGCTATTCTAAAACTTTATTGCAAGCCGTAAACATGTCCGATGACAATTGCTCCATATTTCTTTTAAATCACTTCCTTTACATTTGTAAGCAAGATCAAATATTTATCTCAAATTTGAGTGTGTCATGGCTATAAATAGACTTGCAGTCACCTCATACGTCCTGCATGAACTTAATGATAGCAAGAAGAACAAAACTGCATGTTGTTGACACCTTAACACAAAAAGCTAGTCAATCAAAGGCGCTTTTCTTGATCTGTCAATGGCAAAGTCATCGGATCATCTTTTGTCAAGGTTACTCTCTATGCATCTCCGAGATTATATCATTCCCTGATGCAAAATAGCTACTCAAACCATTAATTAACCCAGCATGCAAGAGGGCTAATATCCCCGCCTGCATCTCTGTCCACAGGACAGCAGCCTACAAACCGCCCACCTCTAGGTTTCGAGGGATGCCATGAATAGCCCAATTGCATTCTCCATTCAGAAACCGGGGCCTAGGGTTGCATTATTCATCATGAATAAATGATAAACTATTTTTGCCCTCCTGTTCTGTTCTGAGAGCTACTGGAATAAAAATAGAGGAAAAGAAGAGAAAGTCTGTGAGATAAATAAGAAGAGAAAGGGCTGGGGAGGGGCGGAAGAGTGTGAAATGAGAGCACAGAGGCTGGTATCTCTCTTTTTGGATGTATTAGAGTGGGTTTGCTGAAAGGGAAGGAAAAGCCGATTTGGGATGAGAGCCAAACAACTGCATGTCACACAGGCTTCTGAGCCACTGATTGCTCTCATTGGCCCTCTCTTTGTTCTCAGAGATTGTGAGGCAACACAAGCTTAATCTACAGAACAAAACTGCAACTCAGTGAATAAAGACTCTGGATATTTTGTCCAGACTGATATGACTGTGTCTGTAATAGAAGAAGTATACTAATAATGTTGCATACTGTTATATGTTAGAATTTTTAAAAGACAACTTGAAATGACATTTACAACATACTCATCTTGAGTAATGTGGTGTATTACCAAGTGAAATACTGATTTTTTTGGATTGTGAAAATATGGAACATATGGTTTAGACATTATTGCATAATACTGTTTTCCCCCACTTTGGTTACATCAGTAAAAAAGAAAAATTACATGTGGAAATGGAAGATTGTGAAAACAATTATTTTTTCCTTATAATATCATGCACTGATGAACTGTTCAATATAAGACCAGTGACACTAACAAAAAACAAAAATAAAAAATACTAGTTCTTACAAGGCAGTTTTTAGGTAAGCTTATGTTTCATAAGGCTTTGGTTCCTAAGTGTCATAATTGTCATGAATCAATTCAATGCACGAGAATCAACAGCTACTGTATATGGTTAAATAGAGTGCAACAGTGACTTTCTCACCAATCCTTGGTTGTGGAAGAATTTTTTCCATTCATTATTCCCTTAGGGAATTTTTTTTTTTTTTTAATTTTCATTAAAGAGTTGCAAATTTCGGTTACCATTAACCAAAAATTACAAACTTTGAAGCAAAAAAGTATTTGAAAATTGTACAAAGACAATGGTATAAGACTGAGTACTTAAAGGGAGAGTTCAAGTCTCAAGTCTCAAGTCTACTTTATTTATAGAGCCCTTTCCACTACAAAATAGACCAAAGGACTGTACAGCAACACAACAATACAAGGACACTGAAAATAAAATTAAACAAAAACAGAAAAAATTACATCTTCCAAAAATCAACAATTAAAAGCCATAGAGAACAAGTATGTTTTCATGCGAGATTTAAACACATCAACTGAGGATGCAGATCTGATGTCAGGTGGAAGGGTATTCCACAGTCTTGGGCCAGCGACCGAAAATGCGCGATCCCCTTTAGTTTTCAGGCGAGTTTTTGGAACCGAGAGCAGTAAGCAGTTAAATGATCTTTGAGGTCTACCAGAGGTCATATGAATCAAGTCCGTAATATATTCTGGGGCCATATCATGTACAGCTTTAAAAACGTACAGTAACACCTTGTACTGAATCCGATATTTAACCGGAAGCCAATGCAGCTTTTCCAAAACTGGAGTAATATGCTACCTTTTCTTTGCACTAGTAAGGAGCCTTGCAGCTGCATTCTAGAGTTCACCCAAAAATGAAATTTCTGTCATTTATTACTCACCCTCAAGTCGTTCAAAACCCATAAGACCTTCGTTCATCTTGAGAACACAAATTAAGATATTTTTGATAAAACCCAAGAGCTTTCTGACACTGCATAGACAGCAACGGAACTACCACGTTCAAGGCCCAGAATGGTAAGGAGGACATTGTTAAAATAGTCCATGTGACATCAGTGGTTCAACTGTAATTTTATGAGGCTACGAGAATATTTTTGGTATGTTTTTTTTTTTCATAAAGCTCTTGGATTTCATAAAAAATACCTTTATTTGTGTCCCAAAGATAAATGAAGGTTTTAAGGGTTTGGAACGACATTGCGTTGAGTAATTAATGACAGAATTTTCATTTTTGGGTAACTTTCCCTTTAACAGCTTTAATGAGGCAAATTCCCATTAGGTCTTGCAAATGACAATCAAATCAAAAATGACAGATAAATATAAAACTTCACTAGTTATATTTATCTGTCATTTTTAATTTGATTGTCATAAAAGCTGTTGCATATACAACAGATTTTATGTTTATTGGAAAACAAAAACATAGCTGCTAAAAAACATTCTTTTGGTGCAATTTGCTTGATTTGTTTGAAGATTTTCTTTGCAGAATCATTGGTAATGTAGTTTTACACCAGGAATTCCACTGTTAAACACGATTGTTTGAAAATAAGCTAAAATTATGCAGACTGACACCTTCAACAAAAGCATACCATCGATTAAAAATCTTGTAGCTCACAGTTAGTCTGTCTTTAAATGTACATAAGTTATTGTTTATATTATTGTAACTCTTGCACTATATAGATACTAGAAATAAAAGACCAAAATACAATTTACTATAACAATAGAAATAAGAACAGGAATTCAGTTTGCAGATATTGCAGCGTTATAAACACTGTCTTTAAAACAAAACAGAACCTGTACATTAAATGGTTATAGTTTACAGTATTTTTTAAATTATTAAAAATATTGAAGTATTAAAAATAATCAGACTGAATTCATTGTTTTGTAATTGTAGACTGAAGTTTGTGGAGAAGAACAGCATGGTTAGAATAGATCTATACATTTATTTGTTCTGTGCATATCTCATATCTCAGGTGGGCCAGGAATGATCTATATTTTATTAATTGCCTTGCACAGAGAACAATAATCATTTAACAACAGATGTTACAGCGCATTAGTGGTTATTATACGTAGTTCCCATATGTATTATTCCAAGAATTGCTGTTGTTCTTTCATTAAGAGCTGTATATGGAAGCTAATAGTTAGTTGAAGATTAATTGTCTTTACCAGATGGAGGTCCACGCAAGTCGAGTTGTTTTCACACATGTTGCTGACACAGTCATTGATGTCCTGCTCACATCTTATTCCAGCGTAACCAGGGTTACACAAGCAGTAAAATCCATCCACAGCTGAAGCAGGAAACACACAGGGAGACGAAATACAGTTTCCTATTTTAGAAACGCATAAGAAACATTTACACAAAAAATGAAATCGCAATGACGTGCTTACAAACTTGGTTTTACAAATGCATCATTCAAGGACGTTGTAGTTATCTTTAGCACTATTTTCAGGGCTGGTTATGAAATTAAACCTTGTAAAGCCAATGTCAGTGCAGGAATCATAGCACGCAATAAAAACAACTCAATCACCCAACAATACTATTTTACAAGCATACACTGTTGTTCATAACATTTTTAAAAATCAAAAATACAATAAAACAACGTTGTGAAATATTACTACAATTTAAAATAATGTTTTCTATTTCAGTATATTCAATTTATTCCATTTCCAGTTACTGAAACCAGTTGTGCTGCTTAATATTTTTGTGGAAATTGATACAAATTTTTTCAGGATTCTTTGATGAATAGAAAGATCAAAACAGCAGCATTTAAAAATAGAAATATCCTGTAACTTTAAAAAATGAAAAAATAAATAAAAATAAAAATAATAAATCTTTGTGTAAAAGTGTAAAGTGTCTCCATACTTTCACATCTTTCTTGGTGTTAACTTAAAAAAATACAAATAAAAAAATAAAATAAATTTAGCATCCCTAGCACAGTTAGCTAACCAACTATGATATTTTTGATGTGAATACCTATGTGCATTTCTCATAGAAAACGTGGGATGACATACACAATAAACAATTTAAAACCAAGTAGAATAAACACCTTGCACAGAACAATTATTTTGCATATATAACAATTACAGATTTTAAGACATGGCAACTTGACATTTTAAACACTTAAGGCATTTAAAGACACTTAAGACATTCAAACTGTGGATTAAATGTTTTAAGCTCTACAAATGCCTCATTTTTTTACACTCTATATTTCCCTCCACAGCCACTGAAGTCAAAAGACTTATCATATTCTCCCTTTTGTCCGTAAACCTTTGCTCTTAAGCTTATCAGTAAAACTGTCTTTATCTGCTTGCGGAATTCCACGGTCATTTAAATTCACCCCAGCAGCTGGAAACACAGTGTGTCCAATTAAATGTAAAATGTGTGTTTGTGTAGCCATCTCTTTTACAAATGTTACAAGAGTGTCGCTGTCCACCGTCTTTGCGTGCATCTGACTTACCCGAAACCTAATGACCCATTCAACAAGCCTTTAATTATTAACGCCATTGAGAAGAAATGCATCCCCTGCCTTTCTGCTGCAAAACAGCAGCCTGTGACAGAGGTAATTGTGGGTTCTTACAGCCGCAAATTTATTACAAGGCCTACGCCGAGTCCCAGGATTCTTCATTATCCCTTAGATTTACCACGTAATCTATGCTGCCACTCTGTCTTTGTTCGTGTACCCACGATTACTCTCATTAAATGCTCGGGGTCCAGAGTGGCACCCGTATTACTCACACCAGCTGCTCAAAAGATACACCTTGCTCTCTCACTCTCTCCCCATACAAACACAGCAGATCGCACGCCTTCTATATGGCGGACAGGCCCTGAGGGACTGCATGTGTTGGGCTGTTTTTGCTGGTGCATTCTGGGAGAAAGTAAACAAGTCAACTTTGTCTAACGGAGCTTGTTGGAATTGGAGATGTTGGGAGACAAGACAAAGTGGCTGCAGGTTTGAATCCAAGTGGTGGAGGAGGAAAACTTGGTTGCCTGGTTACAAAATCGTCATCTTCATCTCTGTCACCATTTTACCTCAGAGCACAGCACTTAACTGCAGGTTGCTCTGGGAGTGCAATTAGTGAACTACATGTTGGTGTGGATAAAAACCATGTGCTAAATGGCAGGAAAATTAGAAGTAAGGTGCATGTATAGTATAAGTTAGCAAAGAATAATATACTATTGCATTACAGCTCCGTTTAGTATAGCTTAAAGGAACACTCCACTATTTTTGAAAATAGGCTCATTTTCCAACTCCCCTAGAGTTAATCAGTTGAGTTTTACCGTTTTCGAATCCATTCAGCCGATCTCCGGGTCTGGCGGTGGCACTTTTAGCTGCAGCTTAGCATAGATCATTGAATCTGATTGCAGTTGCATTGACCTCGCAATGATATTATGCAGTGCCTGAAAATAGTCCCCAGCACGCTCCCTGTGCAAGCAGGTAAAAGTGCTACCGGCAGACCCGGAGATCGGCTGAATGGATTCGAAAACAGTAAAACTCAACTGTTTAACTCTAGGGGAGTTGGAAAATGAGCCTATTTTCAAAAATAGTGGAGTGTTCCTTTAACATTTTAATATGCTTATCAACATTGTGCAACATTATCAACATCAGTTTCATGCACTAAGGTTATGCTCAGTATTTATTTCCCCATTTCCTCATGTAATAAACAAATCTATCATATGAGACGTTCAAACCGTTGCTTCTGGCCACAATATATTAGTCCATAATCCATAATAACGCTTCTTAGAAAAAGTCTATCTTTTGTTGTCCTCTCACATTAAAATCCACCATAAACCATATTTGTTTAGAACTGTTTTTGCATGTAAACGGTGCTTGATCTGTGTATATTTTGCTCCTTGTTCAACTGAGATGCATTTTTCACTGGAGAAAGCAATATTATGGAAGTTAAAACTTAGCTACATCTTGGATGGCCTGAGGGTGAGTAGATTTTCAACAAATTTTCATTTTTGGGTGAACTATTCCTTTAAAGGGGTCCTATTATGCTCTTTTACAAAGTCTTGATTTTGTTTTGGGGGTGTACTAGAACATGCTCTCATGCTTGGTGGTTCGAAAAACGCATTATTTTTCACATAATTTACATAATTAAAATACATTTCTCCCCAGCCTGGCACAAACGGCTCGATTAGTTCCGGCTTTGATGAACTTCTTCATCGTCTCGTCTGATGCACCTCAGGAACAGAGTTAAAAAATAAATTGCAACCACTATTTCCTGACATCCGCTTTCGGAAGCCCAAACAAAGACGTTTGGGCATGGAGGTGAAAAAAACAGCGTTTCAGGCGGTCGCACACCGGACGAGAAGCGCAGCGTCACGTCGCGCCACGTCTTTAAAATTTTAATACATTATTTTCTATGAGTGTGGGATTACTGTTTTACTGCCTGGGGTTTCGGTTTTATGATGCTCTTATTTTTGTCATCACTGCTTGATTCTTGTTGTGCTGTGATGTTCAATGACCATCTCATTATTTGATTGATGTTATTGACTTACATTGTTATTGTGGATCTACTTGTGTCCAAAAAGAAGCATCTTATGTTTCAAGAGGTCTTCTCCCTCAGAGGCAGGCAGCCTTACCAAGCAGTCATTTAAAACTGCATGATGAAGACAAATGGACATTTCCAGTATTGCTAATTGAAAATTTGCTGAACAACAGATCAACAATTGCCGTTACAAGAGCTTACTGACTGAAGGAGACATTTTGCATTTAACAAATCCAAGTTGGCTAAAGTACAGAAGACAATTACTCTTGTTGAGAAAAGACAAGAACATTAAGGCATCATGCTGCCTTGATTTTTAACACTGATAAGCTACCACTAAATATTGTAGAAACTTAATTTGCTGTAAAGTTGCTTTGTAATGATTATTAACTGAAAAAGCGCTATACAAATAAACTTGAATTGAATTGAATTGAATTTAAAAAGTTTCACAAAAAGACGTGAACAATAACTTTGAAAAATGTCTTTAAAATGATGACGACAATAATGTCTTTAGCTACATTAGTATATGAACACATGACTAATATATATCGAACACACAGAGCTCCCAGCATGTACTGCATTCAAAAGTTACTGTGATAGGATTACTGTTTTACTGCCTGGGGTTTCGGTTTTATGATGCTCTTATTTTTGTCATTACTGCTTGATTCTTGTTGTGCTGTGATGTTCAATGACCATCTCATTATTTGATTGATGTTATTGACTTACATTGTTATTGTGGATCTACTTGTGTCCAAAAAGAAGCTTAAAGGGGTCCTATTATGCTCTTTTACAAAGTCTTGATTTTGTTTTGGGGGTGTACTAGAACATGCTCTCATGCTTGGTGGTTCGAAAAACGCATTATTTTTCACATAATTTACATTATTAAAATACATTTCTCCCCAGCCTGGCACAAACGGCTCGATTAGTTCTGGCTTTGATGAAGGTTCGCCTTCCGAAAAACAAAATGTGTTGTGATTGATTAGATGTCCCAGTGCATTGTGATTGGCAAACAGCTTAGACGGTGTTTCAGTACTGCCACGCCCCTTGCTCCGTCTTTCAACAAAAGCTTTTTGGCGAATCCGGCACTGTACTCCCTCATGTTGTGGAAGCTGTCCTCAGTAAAATGCGCAGCACACAATAGCAAATTGGGGTTATAATGCTCAGGAACAGAGATAAAAAATAAATTGCAACCACTGTTGTCTAGTACAATACATTATGTACAGTAACCTTGCCTTAAAGGTGCACTTACAGGAGTAATTGATATTGCTTCATCTCATGAGTACACATAATTTTAAACACATTTTAAAGAAACATAACATAATTCTGTATGGGTAAAACTAGGAGGAAAAATTAAAAAGATGACATCTTACAAAATAGCCTTACAAAATATTATGCGCCCATTGTCAACGACAATATTCAGAAACTATTTTCAAAGGATATATCTGGTACGTCTGCTGTAATAACAAAGCTGCTTGTTTTCAAACTTTTTTTTATTTACATAAACTAGGTGTGGCAAGTTAAAATGAAATAAATTAAGTACTTAAATTTAAATCCCATAATTTCAGAAGTTTCAATAATAATTCTAGGGACTTTTTATTACCAAAGTATTTAGATGAATTTAGTCATTTGTGATTTTTTTTTTAATTCACTAACAGCAATTTCTACCCTATAAAATATTTTAGAATTTGAAATAACTAGAAAAATAATTATTCATTATAAAAAAGTTATTAACTTCTATGAATCGCCCAGGTCTATAAATGACTCATTTAAAAGTCTGGTTATTAAATTCAATTGGTGTTGAGTGAACAAATTACAATAAAATTAAAATAAATAAATACATAAATACACACATTAAAAATCTTGAAAATGAAATGGTTTTAGCTTACTTTAAAGCATATTTTATTAAAGCTTATTTTGTAGCCCTCTGAAGTTTGCAAAGGCCCAAAGTGGGTCCTGGCCCTCTAGTGGAAAACCACTGCTCTAAAGATCATTTCAAACACTTCTGGAAAACAGTAAAACTTCAGAATGGAAAACATTAAAGTCTGTCCATTTGAATCCTGCAATGTATAAACCTAAAGCAGGATGGTTAGCAAGTTGATAGCAAAATTATTCAGACAAAAAGGACACTGGACAACACATGCTGAATTTGAAAGTATTTTCTGCTAATTTGAGGGGACAGTTTACAGCCTCTTTTAAACAAACTGTAAAATCTTACACAAGTCAAGGTTTGTCTTCCTCTCAGAGTCACTACAATGACATCCACCACTGTCTATGCTATGGAATTAAAACTTTATCACCCAAATAAATTACTGTCAACTAGAAAACATCTTCCGTGACTCATTTTAAAGGCTTTTTGCAACATACAGCATGTCTTAAAGGTGAAGGTGTAAGTGTTGTACTATGCAGTAATAAGGACTGTTATCAAACAGGTTTCCTGAACATTTTGCCTGTCTTCAGGGCTGGATTGGTAATCGGGAATACCGGGCATTTTCCCGGTGGGCCGATGCACTTAAGGGGCCGACAGATTTAAAAAAAAAGAAGTCTTTTCTCACCAAACCTGCATTTATTTGATCCAAAATACATCAAAATCAGTAATATTGTGATTTTTTTTACTATTTAAAACAACTGCTTTCTATTAAATTATATATTAAAATGTCATTTATTTCTGTGATCAAAGCTAAATTTTCAGCATCATTACTCCTGTCTTCAGTGTCACGTGATCCGTCAGAAATCATTTTAATATGCTGATCTGTTGTTCAAGAAACATTTATTATTATTATTATTATTATTATTACTATCAACATTTAAAACAGTTGAGTACATTGTTTTCAGGATTCTTTGATTAATAGAAAGATCAAAAGATCAGCATTTATCTGAAATAAAAAGCTTTTGTAACATTATACACTATTCAATTCAAAAGCTTGGAGTCAGTAGAATTGGTTTTTTTTTTGGGGAAAGAAATTAATACTTTTATTTAGCAAGGATGCTTTAAATTGATCAAAAGTGATGATAAAGACATTCATAATGCTACAAAAGATTTCCATTTCAGATAAATGCTGTTCTATTCATCATCTGAAAAATTCTACTCAGCTGTTTTCAACATAATAAAAATAATAGATGTTCTTTTTTTGGGGGGTTAGCCGCAAATCAGAATATTTGAATGATTTCTGAAGGATCATATATTTTAAAATGTATTCAAATAGAAAACAGTTATTTTAAATAGTAAAAATATTTCACAATATTACTGCTTTTGCTGTATTTTGGATCAAATAAATGCAGGCTTGGTGAGCAGAGGAGACATCTTTAAAAAGCATTAAAAAATCTTACTGTTCAAAAACTTTTGACTGGTAGTGTATAGGCCTATCATATATTCATATATATATATATAGAAATGGTGGTGGGCCGCCTGGACCAAAAAATGCCTGGGCCGATTTTTTGTCCCAGTCCAGCCCTGCCTGTCTTCCATTGGTTGGAGGATTGTATGCAATAACTGATCATTCAGCCTACATATACAACATCATTTTAACATCAAGTGTGTTCCAATTTGAAAGTACCTCATTGCAAAGGCCTATTTAGTGCTTTGCAATCTGTAATCCTTAACTGACAACATGTATTTGATCTATGGCTTTTGTAATGATTTATGCAGAAGATGCAACACAAAAGGGCAAAAACAGCTTATTGGATTGCTGAGGGAGATCAACACCCTGCCTTGGGCTTTGATTGTATTAACTCTGTCATTTATCATCCATTATTCAAATTACAAAGCAGCATTTATGCCTTACGGATCCTTGCTCACAGCTGGAGCAAGACACTTGTCAAGAGCACACTAAAGCAACTGTGGCCTGGTCATACTGAATGAAGCAACTTGTGTCTCATAAAACTGCCTGTTTCAAAAAAGTCATGGCTAACACTGTCAAAGGGGTAAACCAACAGTGCCTTTGCTCCAAACAGAGTGCCTTTCTAGAGTATCAGTGTGCTAATCAGACTGAAGGGAAACGTTTTGTGTTTGGGAGTTCAAGGCTGAGATATAACTACAGTATTTACCGTCGTAACAGAAGCCGTGCAGACAGGGGTTGGAGCTGCACTCGTCTATGTTGATCTCACAGCGAGGCCCCGTGAAACCCTGGTGGCATCGGCACCGAAAACCCAGAGGGAAGAGGACGGGATCAGCCTCTTCCACGCACTCTGCCCCGTTATCACACGGATTAACGTCCTCACAGGGCAGCAACTCGCAGTTAATCCCTGAAATTCCAAATACAGGATGAGAAATACAATTCCATCTGCAACAAAAACAACAGAAAATGTTTGACTGTTTGTTTACTCTACAAATTCTCATAATTAATTACTTAAAAGGCCTCTATTGCCACATTTAAGTCAAAAGCAGCCTTGTCACTTCTAAAAGGGGTCTCGCATATATTGACCACTGAATTTCCATGACTTTTCCAAGACAGAGGCACAAATAATCAATTTGTCAATTTATTATTTATTTTGACATACATCAAAAAAATCGAATTAATTAAAATGAAACCACTTTGTGGAGTACAATTATTTTTTGCATTGAATTTGAATGAAAATCACAATAATGACTTTTTCAGTCACTCATGATTACTGCACAAGGATTTATTTATACATTTAATTAATTTATTTTTTTAATTACAGTATAGGAATTGCATTAATAAAGTGCAATTTCTCACCTAAGATTTTTTTTTAGGCCTGGATAAAACTGCACACAGTTTTGAAAGTTTTAAAATAAAATAAAATAAAATAAAAACACATATTCTATATTTTCTAATCTTTACCCTGCTGACTAGTTTGGACTAGCTTATAATTTCTAACTGGTTTTAGATGAGTAATGTTGATCTCACAAAATTTTTCCTGCCTTCTTTCAGGCCTGGTATGCATGTATATATGAAAAATAAATAAATAAATATTAGAAACCCCTAATATTTATATTATTTTCATATAATCCTGCTGAAAAAAAAAACAGCTTAGACTAGTTTTTATGTCACCTTATTAATTCCAACTGTTGGTCACTAGCTAAAACCAGCTTAAAAGCATCTCAGCAGACCTTATATGTTGAGTTGGTCACCAGGCTAGTCTGGCTAAGCTGATGCAGACTGTTTTTTTTTCAACAGGGAAATGGATCAGACAAAAATGTACATGAATTGAAGACAGTAAAAGAACCCATAACATACTGGCACATTTGAGACTGATAGGTGAGAACAACTTCAATGAAAATTAATGACATGCCTTGGATTGTCTAATTACACTCAATGGCAGTGTTGGGTAATGTCCACTATGAACTCTTTCAATTAACACGTGAATAGACCGTGCACTGTATTTTAGCCAGTCTAGAAACTAGATCATTTAGTAAAGGATAGCTGTGTAATGGGTAGGTTAATGTTCCCAGCATCCCTCCACATAAACACTGCACATTTCTCAGAGCAGTGAAGCCGTCTGTGCCTTTTTTCCTCAATTTCAAAACAAAATAACCGATATCATCATTATCCCTGACAACCTAATTTGCGCGTCTAATGGAAGCGTGATCCGTGATCTCTGTTTGAGTATGAGCAGCGATGACTGAGCTGCCTGACCGATTTTAGATGAGCTGCATTCGGTGTCCGGAATTGGCCAGCTGAGCATCAAACATACACACACAAAATAAAAAAAACACACAGAAATCCCACTAATGCACAAATATCGCTGTGTAAAACAGGTGTATTCACACAGCAGATAGTTTCTGCAATTTCCTAATCTGAATAACATAGTCAAAGAGCACAGCACTCTAGGGGGAATTTGTCCTGACATTTAGGTCTGATTCGATCAACCTCTGAACTGAACCAGCAAACCGTAATGTGTGTATATGAATACAGGGCTTACTACAGTACAATACATTATCCTCACCAAAATGTTCAACAGTAAGTCAATTGTGAGGTTAACAGGATCCTAAAATCGTTGTAAATGAAACCCATGCATTGTAAGTGTGGAAATGCATTAAAGAGAATTTAATTTCTACCTTCAATCATTTCTGACATAAAAAATTACACCAAAAAGTAGAGTATGAAGCACACCGGCAAAACCAGATTATGTTGAGGGTGCCAGTCTCTCACAGGATTTTATTTTCTATTTTTGTTTTACATATTTTTACATTATTTTATTTCAAATATATTTAATGGGCATTTATACAATTTAAATTGATTTTAATTGGAATTATTAAATGGACAATGAAGATGTCTTGATGTGGCAATACTGACTGCATGAGTTCAGACAGGTGAGAGGAATGCTATCTGAAGTTAATTAACTTTGCTTTTCTTCACCCTTCACCCCAGTCCCTCAGTCTTCATTACCTTTAAATGGAGCCGCGCATCGGCAGTAGTAATTACCCGGTTAGTCAATGCAGGTGCCTCCATTCTTACAGGGATATGAGATACAGTCATCAACGTCCAGCGAGCACTCAGGACCTTTAATGCACAATATCAAATTTAAAAAATCAGAACATTTTTGAAAGAAGTCCATATCTCTCAGAAAACACCTGAGAGACAGCTTTCCACAAATTACAAAAATATGACAAGACATTCATACTTAAGACATTTTAGAATTTGGGTACTATGTACAGTTTTAAGATGTGGAGTCATATTTTTGTGCTGGGCCCCGTGAGAGCAATAGAGAAGCAATGGAGAGATAATCAATGCGATAATGTTCTAAACATTAGACACACCAGAGAAACCTGAAGGGCAAACGCATTTAAAGCCATCTGAGAGGTCCAAACACGTGCCATTGTTCATGCATGGTGATGACTGGCATTCATCTATGTTTATTTCACATAAACTGCCTGAGAAATGAGAGAAAAAGAGAAAGGCACACAAAAAGAAAATAAGAATGAGAGCTGTCATAGAAATTCCCATGCCAACCAATTATAAGCTGAAGTTTTCACCGCATAAAGAATCTGGAATAAAAGTAAAAACAAATCTAAAATCTCTTTTAAGCCTTCGAGCAATACACCTCCTGGTTTGAAATGAAAGTAGATGAATTTACATTCCGTTGGGCAGGAGGTTCCTAAAATATACTGAGAGCTTGAGTTGTCTCATATCGCTAAATGAGCCTATTTCCTTTCCAATTTGCATGAACATGAAAGAATTAAGTGGAAATTACTCTCGAAATAGAAATTTAATGTGGCTGGATAAGAACTAAAAGTGCCCCTCTGTTTTAAAGGGTTGTTTGTAAACTAAACAGGACACACTAAATGATCATATCTCGTCACGCTGAAGTGTGTAATTTTTTCTGTATTAAAATACTTCCATCTCAGTTTAAAGTGCTGAGACAACTATAAGTAAGCCATTTGCAGGTTAACTTCTCTGTGGCGATTTAAAAACATTGCTCTATTTGTTTGAACAGGTTGTCAGCTTCTGGCTCAAACAATGGACCCTTCTCACAGACTGTCATGACATTTTTCCACAGTTATTAACATAAATCAATGTTTTTTGCTTTTTCATTAAAAATATTTTCTTACCTTGAATTAAATGACATGAAATTATGAATTATGCAATTGCATAAAATTACAGAAAACTGGTTAATGCACCTGCATGAGTATTTCTAATACAATGGCTGATTTATCTAATTTTCTCTCTTCTGACCAACATGAATTATAAATTTTCTCTATTTTTTCCCCCCTGCTTCTGGAAAGTCATAGAAATGCTAACATATATGGGGCAAATGGGAACACAAAAATTACATTTGTTGCATTTTTCCCAACTATGATGACTTCCACTTCTGAAAACCCCAGAAATGTGAAGAGAGTTCATGATGTTTGGTTCTTTTTCTATACAGTTCCATTTGGTATTGCTAGTGGCACAGAAATTACACAAAGTTCCACAAATAAGACAAATCTATTTTTACTTCATATTATTACTACTACTAGTAGTACTATAGTTACCTTGACAAACATCAATATTAATTAAAAAATAAATAAACAAAGAAACAATGTTCCATGTTTCAAAAGGCTTCAAAAGGCCAAAATGTTACTAAGGTTATCATTAACACTGTAGGCTGGGGAGTGACTCCTGTACCGTGTAACCCGGTATTGGGCGAGTACTGGAAAAAGTGGTATCGGTGCATCCCTAATTTTAAGGATTCAATCCTACATTTAAACGTGGTTGTCAGTTTCAAAATGTAACTGTGAGGCCTTCGTCACCCAAACTCAGCCTGTGAAACTGCGACGGCAGGAAGGAATTATGTACCTGTGGTCCCAGCAGGGCAGAGACAGCTGAAGGAGTTAAGCTCATCTGAACAGGAAGCTCCATTCTGACAGGGTTGACTAAGACACTAATTTACTTCAATCTCACAGTTATTACCTTGAGAAGGGGGAAGGTTCATTTCATTAAGGATTTCCTTGCAAATACAGGGGGCCGTGATGCCCTTTCAAATAAAATAACCCACAGCTAATGATGAGGTGCTATGGAAGAAAAAAAAAAACACTCCTGTGTACTTGGTCAAATGGATGGCAGGATAATGCGGTTTAAGAAATTCCCCTTGATAAGCAGACGGTCAACTAATGTCTTACAATATAGGAGCAGATTTGAGGCCACAGACCTTTTAAACACGGCTCAACAGAGGGGGATTGAATGTAAGAAAACTGGGCAAAGGAAAAAATTGCTCTAGAAAATTGCTTGTGGTGGACTTACTGACGAACCCAGGCGCACAGAAACAGTCATAGGCATTGATACCATCTTTACAGATACTGAGCGCACCACAAGGCTTATCCAGACAGTCATCAATGTTTACCTCACAGAATCGTCCTCGTAACCCTGAGGAAGAGATGAAAATGGGGTGAGGGTTAAATGGATGCTTTAGTGAAGGTGTGGACAGAGGGACTGGCAGGAGACAGACCGTACCAAATCATTCTTACCAGGCAAACATTCACACACGAAGCCCAGCAGGAGATCCACACACTTTGATCCGTGATGACACAATCCTTCGACGCAGTGACTGATGGAAGTTTCCCAAAATGGGCCTTTATAGCCATGGCGACACGTGCACTTGAAACCGCCCTGCTGCTCTTCGCACATGGAAGTGCCCTTCGTATCGCACGGGTTGGAAATGCAGCCCGTAGCCGGCATGGAGCAGTCATGTCCTGTGAATCCTGTGTGAAATGGTATGAAAGAGCTGATTGATGTGGAATGGCTCAATGAAGACACTTGAGCATTAGTTATTCAGCTGTCATGCCTCAGTTGACACTCTTGCCAAATGCTGGTACTTCATGCATTTACGTCCTCAAGAAGTGGCATAAACAGACATGAAACACAAATATTATGCCAGTCAATTAACATGCAATGCAAAAAGGACTTTCACTCAAAACTGGATATTTTGTATTCATTTAGTATTTCTGGGACCTTGACCTTTCAAAGACAAACGGATACATCATGCCAATAAACTTAATGAAGTAAACCTAATAAAACTTAAGCCAACCTCACCAGTAAAACGGTTTACACAAAAATCGAAATCTGTCCTATAGGAACCGTATTTCACCTGGTGGGCATTTGAAATAGGTCTGTCCTCTCCGACTATAGCAGGTGCCGGCATATAGGAAGACCTTATCCAGAGATGTGCAATCAGTGACAGCCATGGAACAGTTCTTATCTTGGAGAGGCAGCAGATAAAAAAGCACAACAACTCAAGTGATGCAGAGGTCACAACCCAAGAACACGTTCTGTCATCAAAGCTCCAATCAAGTGGCATGTAATTGACATTGCTAATCTGAGACGACCAACAACTGAAGAATAAACACATTGAATTGGAAGTGTTTATTTTTTTATTAATCTTTTTTCCTCCCTTTACAATGCTTTGACACTGTGTATTTCATGTCAATAAAGCAACAATAATTTGGGAACTAAATTCTTGTCAAATTTCAATAAAACCTGTAAAAATAAATAAATAGAAAAAGATGCATACAAACAGATTTTTAGTTTGTTCTTTAGCATTTCACATTTGGGAAATTCACAAATATTATGGTTATGACTATTCCACAACATCAATATTTCACTTTGAACATTTTTGAACATTTTTCCCAATGTCACAATTTTATGTTGAACATTTTTCTCAACATCAATATTTTTTAATTATAAAACAGTTATTTTACATACAACTATTTCCTGTCTTTTATGTTGCTCACTTATATAGAAGTGTGAAAGTGAAGTGTGAAAAATAAATTTCACAAATGAACGCACACATACTCCTTGCAGTCCTTTTAATTAATGCCATAAAAACGGCATGCATAAATGTCAAAAATAGGACACTATACCCACTGCGTAATACCCATATAAATTTTATTTACACTAATTAATTTACATATTACTTTATTTAAATGATTAACTCAGAAACATGCTTAATATAAAATGTCTTCCTATCTCTCTCCTCCACCAGTGCTCCTCATCCACATCGATGTCCTTCACACTATTATTCTAATAGGGCCGATTTATCCTCTGATGTTTGAGATGCAGTACAATTGCTGTAAAGTAAACATGATGCTTGCACATTATCTCAGCGCTGTGTTTATATTGCTTCTGATCTGGCCCGTGATAAGAGAGCACAGCTGTCAAAGTGTGCAAAAAAAACAACAACGATATCTTTCCCTTACAAATTTTTTCATACTTAAAAAAAAAAAAAAAAAAAAAATCTACAAATGAGTCACAAATGAGTAAACATACTTTGTCAAAGGCCATTCAAAGAAGACATAGTAATACTAAATGTCCAATCTCCTCTTTTACTGCAATGAGGCAGTAACATTGAGACTGTTCAGAGCAGAGAAGCCCTTTGAATCTTTCAGTGCAATCAATAGGAGATCTGAACTACCAACATTCCTCTTTCAGAGCATGTTGCCGACACATTGATGTCTCTGTAATGTCAGTGTACACAATGCACATAGAACATTGAAAGAGGGACTGCTATGCTGGCACTCTTTAGCGTTTAATCTATGCTCGTCTGTATGTTGAAAGCCTCTAGTATTCTCCTGTGTGTTAACTTGTACAGTGCAATCCTGGACAATATATTAACACACACACATATATATATATATATATACACAGCTGTGAAAATTACAACCCTGAAAAAGATTTTGGAGGGTCACAGACTTAAAGCAGAATAGAATTCAGTCTAAAAATTTATCAAAATGTAGTTTTTGGAGAATATACTGTATGATGCCTAGTGCCAGATTTTTCATATATCTTCTAAAATTCCTTTGGAGAAATAAATATAGACAATGCAGAAAAAAAATGTTGTGATGCAACAAATGTTGCAATAAAACATGAAAGACAATACTACAAATTTGGCCTCTTCAGGTCAAGCCATACTATAAAAAGCTGAAAACAACTGTCCAGCCAATGTGCATTTGTGTTGAAGAGTTAACACTGCTGTAAAAATGGTGATGGCTTCGCCAATGTCACAATACACTTAGAGGAACGAGGAGACGTTGGAGAATACTTTACCAAGACTTTAATTCCAGGAACCAAGGGAGACGAACTCAGGAAGACGTGTAACAGCGGACAGAGAACTCGGGACTGGGAACACTTTAAATACACACAGGAGGAGGGGATGACGAGACACACCTGGGAGCAATGAAACATCAAGGGAAACACCTGGGACAAATGAACTTAATCAGGACAGGAACAGGAAAATAACCAAATAAGGGCATAGGAAGGCACATGGGGAGCAAGAAACACACACAACATGGAACAGAGTCTGACAGACATCCTGTCTATGGCAATTATGTCAGCTCATATTTTCCTCTTTTCTTGCCACATTAACTGCCGGCTGACTTGACTCGGGAACGGCCGGCGGAGGGTTTCCGGATCGGGATCGGAGACTCTCCAGACACCGGATGACTGTCTCCTTCCAGTCGAGGTTGGTGGTGTCTGGGAGCTCCGTGGGATGATGGAATGTTATCCCGATCCGGAACAGCGTTGCGAGGATTTCCCCCTCGAGGGAGCTGGTGAGGGCGAGCGCCACGAACGCCCTTGCAAAGACGATGGGGTCTGGGCTGTCCTGAGCCAACGTGATGAACATTAATCGTTCCTCCATTTGGGGACGTGGAGGAACGCACGGGGAAAAAACAAAACAAAAACTTTCAAAAAACGGAATTCAAACGGGGAGAGGGGGTGCCGCTTACTTTTTTGGTCCGCTGTTCTGTCACAATACACTTCGAGGAACGAGGAGACGCTGGAGAATACTTTAACAAGACTTTAATTCCAGGAACCAAGGGAGACAAACTCAGGAAGACGTGTAACAGCAGACAGAGAACTCGGGACTGGGAACACTTTAAATACACACAGGAGGAGGGGATGACGAGACACACCTGGGAGCAATGAAACATCAAGGGAAACACCTGGGACAAATGAACTTAATCAGGACAGGAACAGGAAACTAACCACAAAACACGGAACAGAGTCTGACAGCCAATGAGACAATTGGCTCTTTTAATTGAAAGGTGGGAGTTAATTTTCTACAGCTGCTATGCTAACTGTTGTAATTTCTTCCATTCTCTCCTTATTCTGCCTGTTATTATTCAAAAAAGACCTCCGTTTAGAAATACAATAAGAAGACATGCTTTATATGGTAGAAAAGTAACTAAAGCCCAACAGATCATTATTACTATAAAACAGAAACATTTCCCTGCAAGTTGTTGGACACAACTTGTTAATTCTCTTGCGTTCCAATATTTGCATTTCAAATAATTCCATTAATGATGTGACTCAACGCTGAGTTAACAAATTTCCTCTAGGAGATGGGCTTATTTTTAGATCTTTGTTATTTTGCTTTTTTGCGCTCTAACAAGCCACATACAGTATTGATTAGTTTGGCTCGCTGTAACATAATAGAAAAATCTGAAGAAATCAAAACATTCTTTACAAGAGCTACTTAGAAATGAATCCCTGAAGGCACATGCATGCATAACTCCCTGTTAGATCAATGCAAGTAAAATGATTGGTGCAGAAAGCAGAACCACTGTGAATTTGCTTCACTTCACAGTGGGTGCCCTCAAAACGTACATTTGAATGACATGAAGTAAATATATCAGCTTTCGGTAAACCACACACCCTGCTGGTGCACTACATGAGCAGAAGTAGAAGCGAACCCTTTTTAATTAGCACATTTAGCTAGACCCTTTCATTGGTCATATCGGTCATAAACTGAAGACTGATCTCTGAATACTGAAACATGTATGATCGCAAAAAATGTTAACATTCAACGCAAAGCTCCTGGAAGCAAAATCAGCTCAACAACTGTTCGCAGGAAACTTCATGAAATGGGTTTCAACAGCTGTGCAACCACAAACCAGCTCATGTGTGGGCTGCAGAAGTGTGAAGCTCACCATTACTGGACTATTGAGCAGTTAAAATCCATTCTCTGGAGTGATGGATCACTCATCACCATCTGCCAGCCTGAAGGATGAATCTGGATTTGCCAGGAGAACTCTACCTGCCCGAAAGCACAGTACCAGCTGTACAGTTTGGAGAAGGAGAAATAATACGTTTCATTGTTAAGGCAATTCCCTTAAGCTTTACATAGAGAAATACATGCCAAAAAGCAACACATGCTACATGGTTCTAAGATTTCTGGTTGCTTTTTGAGAAAGATGTTGCCCATAGTGCAGAAAAAGAGGTTCATTTAGAAATTGTTTCTTGGATGGTTGTGGATGTCCTGACCTTAACCCCATGAAGCAAATCTGGATGCAACTAAATTCTTTTAACATCAGTGCCAAACATCAGAAATGCTTGCAGCTAAATGGAGGCAAAACTAAGACACGCTGGCTCAATACCAAAACCTACTGAGCAGCCTCGCTGTCTACACTGGAAGCCACCTTGAAAGCAACATCATAATCGAAGTAGAACATCTTAAAAGATGTTTTGAGTGATTTCTACATCACATGCAAAATGTCCCAATTACCTGACGTGTCACTGAATTGGGCATCCTTTAAGTTTAATGAGAGTGGCTCAATTTTTTAGCCAATCAAATATGTATATTTTCACATTTAAAGTTACTGGCATGTCTTGAATGGCTGGAGAAAAGAACGTGTGTGGTCAAAGTTTGCAAAATGGAAAAAATTAAGCATCTTTAAGTAATTTAAAGCAATGTTCATACACTCTA